TACCACATCCTTGCTGTGAGGCATGTTATTTAACCTGCTGAACCACAGTTTCCTCTTCTATGCAAAGGGATGATAATTCCACCTGGCTCACAGGAAAAGTTGTAGAAATCAAATGAGATGGTAACTTGTGCGAAAAACCTAGCACAGTCTGTGACACATGCTAAATAAGCATTTTGGGACACATCAGTTTTCCTCCTTCCAGGAGATAGTGTTGCATTCTGTTTACTCAGTTAAACCAGCCTCCTATAAGCTATGGAAGGCTCGCATGTCCTCAAGGATCAGGCCATTCCAAGAAAAATGACTTGGCCACAGCAATGTAATAGGAGATGAAGGATCCTGCGAAGGCACAGCAACAAGAGGAAGACAACTGAAGGGTGCCCCAAGACAGTGCACACCCTGTAGGTAGGGCTCCCAGCAGGAAATCCTGTGGTTCCTCATTAAGTAGTTTCACAGGGGGCTGGCACCCAGGGAAAATTCTAGAAACCACTCCTCCCCAAATTCTGATTAGACCCCAGGTTCAACTCATTAGGTCATGGATGAGCCCTTTGCCCTCTTTCCTTCCAAAGCCACTGGGCAGGCTGTGGAGCGCATAGAAAACGGAAGCCCTGTCTCTTAAAAACCGGTACACGGAACTACACCGTCTCTTAAGGGCACCCAGCGATTAATGCCAGACCCGTGGCAAATAGTGGAAATTAATTTTTATATTTTGATTGATCATCTACCCTTGTTAGGGGAAGACGAGTAGATCTGTTAAGTGGATGGTGCGATCTGTATCTTACGAAGGACAAAACCGACATTCGAATGACTCGTTCAGGGAAAACAGTAAGCAGGGGGTCGGGATTCAAACCCACGCCTCCCCGCAGGACCCACGTTCTTCCTCTCTCCCCCACATGAAGGACCAGCAAGGGGGAGGGCCGGCCAACACTCGGAGGCGGGGGAGGAGGACAGGCTGGGAAGGAGCGGCTACGCCTTCTCCAAAGAGCGGCCCGGCCCCACGTGCCCGAGTCCACGCCGCGGCCGGGAGAACGCGCCGATCGCAGCGCGGGCTCGGACCCGCCCCTACGTGGGTGCCAGAAAGTTGGTGCCCGGCCCAAATGCGGGCCTAGAGGCGCCCGGGACTCCCGCGGCACGTCTGAGAGCAAACCGTGCCCAAGAACGACCTCCGAAGGGCCCCGGGCTGGGCCCGGGGCCGCTTCCCCGGTGCAGACCGCCTCGTCAGCACCTTTTCCTGCCGCCCGGCCTCACAGTGGGTCACGAGGCGGGCGGGGTGCAGTCGGCCGGCGCGCGGCGCCACCTCCTTCCCCTCTCCCTCCCCCGCCCGCCACGTCCCCGGCCCCGCCTCCGAGAGCCACGCGGGGAACCCCAGTGTCGTCACCACCCTCCAGCACACTCGCCTTCCCGCGCTCTCCAGAAAGGACGCGAAGGTGGTGACGTGTCCCGGCCGCCAGCGAGGCTGCGCAGAAGGCGTCGGCAACAGAACGTGCTGCGGCGCCGCCTGGTGGAAGAAAGAGCTGCCAAACCCGCCGGAAGCGGCGGCGCGGGCGGGAGAAGAACGTGACTAACGTCATCTCGCGGGGGAGAGGGCAGCGGGTGGCCGCCGCGTGACAAGCCCACGCCCGCGGCCACGGGGCGTCTTTCTTTTTCTCTTCCACCTTTCTGTGGAGTGCGGAGTCATCTTTATGCACATTCTTTTTAGGGTAAAACCTTACCTTTTTCGAACTTAATCAAAGTAATAGTGTTCGTCGTACAAAATTTGGGGAAGAAAAAGGGAAAGGATATGAACAAAATGAATACCAGCATCACACACACCCCTTCATATTTACTTCCAGCCTTTCTGTTACATTAAACAAGCACCATTGGAGCCTCGAGGCTGTTAGGAAAAAAAAAAACAAAAAACCGGTAGAAAAAGAAGTGCAAACAATAGGTGAAATGGTAATAGCTACTATGTAGATGAGGACACCGGACCATAGGGCTGAATAACTTGCCCAAGGTCACACAGTTAATAGCGAGTGGTAGAGTCGGGGTTTGAGCCCAGGGCTTAGGAACAATGAAAAAGTGGTGCTGGAGAGAAGGGAGGAAAAACCCATGCGGGAATGTGTGTGGTTACAGACTTTCTACTTCTCTGACGCTAGTTGGAACCAGTTCGGAGGAGGCTGGCTAGTGGCTCCAGACGTTGAAGCAACTTCGTGGGAGCGTGCCATAAAGCAGCTCACAGTAACACGCCGCCTTGAAGCACTCAGGTGCAATGTTCGCTAGTGCTCTAGAGCCACCACTGACTGCTAGGTGTCATCGACCTCCAGCAAGGCCCTCTCCCATTGGTGGAAGTGAGCGGTGGGAGTCACAGTACCAAGTCAGGTATTAGGTCTTGTTCTCAAAGTGCAGTCTGGAGTCCAGCTGCATCTCCGCAGCCCTGTACTTTCTACATCCAGCTCGATGAAACAAATGCAGAATCTTGGACCCCCACCCTAGAACTTCTGCATTGGAATATGCATTCTAACTAGATCCCTGGGTGATGCCTATGCATGTTAAAGCGCTATTGTAAAGCGCTATTGCTCCCTTGGTGAGGCCCCTGAAGGATGGTAGAAAGATGTGGAGGAAGCTTGGAGAGCAGGATGGTGGGAGGGCAGTCAGGGAGGAAGGTCTGTAAGAAGGGTTAAAAAAAAGCATGGAAGTGGGGCCTGGTTGGCTCAGCTGGTGGGGCATGGAACTCTTGATCTTGGGGTTGTAACTTCGAGCCCCAAGTTGGGTGTAGAGCTTATTTAACAAACAAAAGCATCCAATAAGGAGTATCAGAAAATACCACAAAATCGAAAGGAAGAAAACTAGGAAATCAGAATCTAGAAGATTAAAAGAGAGAGCGAGAGAGAGAGAAATAGGTTAAGGGGTAAGGTTTTTCTCTGTGGTTGACTTTTCTGTGTTATATGTGACACATACTCGAGAGGGTCCAGGTCATTCAAAGCTCTGGAGCAGGGCAGTCCCTGCCCATTCTTTCACCTTCAGCAGATACAGTGGGATTTCCCCGGGTTATTCTAGCAGAGGGCAAGTTCTGGGCCCTGACAGGGGAGAACCAGACACTGACAGACAATGCCTTTTAGATGACATGCACAAGTTACATTCTGTAAGTGGCCAGAGCTAGGGGCCACCTACTTATGCATGGGGCTGGAGTGTGTGTGGTGTGTGCGCATATGCGCACACGTGGACTGGAGGGAAGCCACAGGTTATTGGCAGACGGGATGTAACAGAGGAGTCAGTGAAAGGATGGACTTCAATGACTGGGAATTTCTGGGCCCAGAAGGCCACAGGGCTGATGACATCTGGTACCTGAGAGAGCCATGTGGCAGCCCTACAGACCTTCACTTAGGTGGGTGGTTCCTGGAGTCACATTTTTAGGTCTCTGAGCGGCTTATTACTCCTCTAAGCTAGCAAGCTGCTAAGATGACAGCAGTTCTGGTAGAAGCAGGGACAAGATAGGGTAGAACCTAAGTGTTGTACGTGAAGGTATAGCAAGTTGTTCTTATGATGCCCACATGAGGGGCACAGCCATGTTGCCTGGAGAAGTTAAGACCTGTTAACACACTCAGTCTGATGATGATCAGTCTGTGCAGTAAACAGGCAGCTATGTGAACATGGAGGATTTTGAGCTATTCACTCCAGAGTACAAATGGTGACTGCAATGTTGAAAGGGAACAGCTGAACAGTCATCTCCCAGGGCCGGGAGATTCCTAGGACTAATGGAGGTGGTGTACAATGGATAGCAGGTTCGAGTGTGGCTGGGTGGGGAGCAGGTGGGTGCAGGGTTTGAAGAGCCCTTTCTGGTGGGAGTATCTAGGATCACCCTGCAGTGGTAGTGTGGGGTAAGTCTGAAATGAGATCAATGCTGGTGGTGTCCCAGAGGTGTCTGGATGTTGAGAGTGGGTGCAGCAGTCCCATTGGTTGGTACTCCTAGGCGCATGCTTGACCTGTCAGAGAGGATGTTAAGTTATAAAAACTCTGAACCCCATTCCAGATTTTGATGGACTGTGATGGTGGGCACCACAGCCCAGGTGGCCCTGGGTCGAGACCTTAGTACTTGAGTGTGAGCCTCTTTGGGTAGATCACTTCTCCCAGCCATGTGCTTTATGGCCTTTATGGTTCTTCTTGTCCCTGTGGCTATAGTCAAGCACTGCTAGACCCAGGCATTGCTTGTCACTCACAGATCTGTTTTGGTCAAAAAGCTGACTACTATCCTCAAAGTACTCAGGTTGAAGGATTTCTTGAATGGGTTAATCACTATGCTTCCTTAGGTGTTCTTTTGAGGCAGGCTCTCCTTTACCTAATTTTAATTTATCCTCTTCCTATCTATGCAAACCCTTTCTCCTTTAATGTCCAGTGCAAATTCTGAGTTCTCTGTGGACCTCTCCGGAGTCTCTTCAAGGAATTCCACCACTGTCTAAAGAATCTGTGAGCTCTCCACACATGCTATCCCCTCCATCACACAGGACACTTAATTTGCCTACCTGTCCCTCTGCCCCCGCCGTAGGGGCCCAGCTTCCCCTTTTACCAAAAACACCAATCAGATTCTTTTCTCGGGGTCCTTGCCTCGAGACAGAGACAGAGCACAGCAGCCAGTCCTTCACCAGTGTGGAAGCGGAAGTCTACTTTCAGGTGCCACAGGAGTCAGAATTCTGGCCAGAGGGAGCTGCTCTCTGCTGACAGTGAGTGAAATCCCAGGAGAGTCAGTGATGGGTCACATGGACGAGGGCTCCAGGGTTCTGCAGGCCTATTCAACACCCCAGTGCCACCCCACGATAGCTGTCCAGCCCTATTTTAGAGTCCACAAATCAATCATTCATTCCCATTTTTGCCCTGAGCTAGTTAGAGTTGGGTTTTTGTTACCTGTAGTCAGAAGAAAACCAGGAGCCTCCTTTATATGGATTTTTCTTGTGTTCCCAAGGACAATGAATTATAAGGAATTTATATCAAAGTAACATGATAAGGTAGAAAGAACATGTCCTTTGCAGTAAAATGAAACATTATATTTTTAATGCTGTTTCCAGCAAGATAACCTCAGAGAGGCTGTCTCTTTAACTTAAAAGAAGGGTAATGACTAAATTCAAAGAATAATGAGGACTAAATGAGAAAACTGGGAATGTAAATGAGAGTGCCTGATACATAGTAGGCCTATAGGAAATGTTCATTCCTTTCTTTTCTCCCTGAAGATAGGTTTCCACTTCTGTCTTTCAATATCTCCATTCTGTGATCAATGAACTCAGCAACAGGAATTCAGCCTTACTAGCTATTAAACTTTTTCGAGAATAAAGAAGGAACGAAATATCAATGAAATAAGCAATTAGAAGCATTAGTTTGAAATGTCGATATTGCCTTGACATATGGACCTCTTTTTCCTATTTCACTATTACTTAAATCTTCCCAAAGGTTTGTAATTTTATAATCAGGCCAACATGAGAAATACTCTGGAAAAACTAGTGACACTGTGCTTTATTTGAGAACAGGATAAAAGGACATGACTGGAACTCTGTCAGGATGGTCCTTAACATTCTGCCCTAACCATGGTGTTGTTAACTCTCCAGCACTGCTGGTGTAAGGCAGAGTGCTGCTAACTTCTTAGAGAATTAGAAAAAGGTTGAAACAAACTCTAAATGGGAGTTGTTAAGAAGGAAAGTGAGTTGGTTTCCTTTTTGTTCCTTTAAAAATTCAAGCCAGAAATATCACCCAATTTATAAAGAAGACTATACACAGCAGCACCAAAAAGGCCATTTACAAGAAGATTTTCTGCAATAGAATCCACTCGAATGCGCTGAGAAATTGCATCTTAGCTAAGAGAGTTCACTAAGGAACAGGGCCATCTAAATGCCTAACTAGTACTTAAAATTGTCAAGGGGTGGGGATGTGCAAATTAGCAGCAAAAGACTGTTTTGTTTTGCCTCAAGGGAAAGTGATGGTGGTTAGAGGGGCCAGTTCCAAGGGCTGGTCCAGTGGTGGCCGTTGGTCTTGGTACTCTGCAACATGCCCATTTCGGTGGTGGCCATACTCAAACTTGATCCGCAGCTCGCCAATCTTGGATTGGGGAAGGATATCTGGGATCCACTCAATGATGAAAGGTGTTGGCTCCTTTTGATCTGGGGAAGTGTTGCCTGAAGACAAGAAAAGACAAGAAAGGGGAAAGGGAAAGGGAAAGAGAAAGGGAAAGAGAAAGGGAAAGAAAAAGGGAAAGGAAAATGGAAACGAAAGGGAAAGGGAAGGAAAGGAAAGGAAAAGAAGGAAGAAAACAAAGAAAGGAAGAAAGAAAGAAACACTGATTAGTGTCATTCCAAAATTTGAGGCTGGCCAGATGCTATGCTGTTCAGGAATAAAAAAAGAAGAAAAAAAAGAAAAAAACCCCAAACAAACCGTAAGAGAGAAACAAGGGGAAAAACAAGAAGAATCAAGGGAAGGGAAAAGTGATTACTGGTATATCTATCCTAAAGAAAGTTTCAGGGTGAGAAAAAAGGGGGGGCATCTGGGTGACTCAGTTGTTGGGCGTCTGCCTCCGGCTCGGGTCATAATCCTGGAGTTCTGGGATTGAGCCCTGCATTGGGTTCCCTGCTCAGTGCGGAGCCTGCTTTTCCCTCTCCCACTCTCACTGCCTGTGTTTCCTATCTCGCTCTCGCTCTCTCTCTCTCTCTGTGTCAAATAAATACATAAAATCTTAAAAAAAGAAAAAGTTTCAGGGAGGCTGCCTGCATGGCTTCCTTGGTTAAGTGTCTGCCTTTGGGTCAGGTCATGATTCCAGGGTTCTGGGATTGAGCCCCATGTTGGTCTCCCTGCTCAGTGGGAAGCCTACTTCTCCCTCTGCTTCTCTCTCCTGTTCCTTCTCTCGCAAATAAATAAATAAATAAATAAATAAATAAAATCTTTAGGGGGAAAAAAAGAAACACTCAGGTTAAAGAACATTTTTAAAAAAAAATATAAAACACTAGCAGAATTAAAAATACAGTATAGGGACGCCTGGGTGGCTCAGTCAGTTGGGTATCTGCCTTTGGCTCAGATCATGATCCTGGGGTCCTCAGATCAGGTCCTGCATCTGGCTCCCTGCTCAGGTGGGGAGCCTGCTTCTCCCTCTGCCTGCCACTCCCCCTGCTTGTGCTCTCTCTCTCTCTAAGTAAATAAATAAAATATTTTAAAAATAAAAACTAAATTAAAAAAATACAATAATACTGTGTAGTTTTCAAAACTATGGGGTACCTGGCTGGCTCAGTCAGGAGAGTGTGCAAATCTTGATCTTGGGGTTGTGAGTTCAAGCCCCATGCTGGGCATAGTGCTTTCTTTAAAAAAAAAAAAAAAAAGGAAAGAAATTTTGACACACGCTCCAACATGGATGAATCTTAAGGACATTACACTGAATGAAATAAGCCAGTCAGAGAAAAGACAAATATTGTATGATTCTACTTAGATGAGGTACCTAAAGTAGTCAAATTAGTCAATAGGAAGTAGAATGGTTGCCAGGGACCAGGGGGTTACTGCTTAATGGGCACAATTTCAGTGGAAGACGACCAAAAAGTTCTGGAGATGGATGGTGGTGATGGTTGTACAATGTCAATGGACTTAATGCCTGAGAGCCTAATACACACTTAAAAAAATTGTATATTATATATGTTTTATAACAATAAAAGATAAAAAATAATGTTGAAGATAGACATGGAAAGCTATTCATGATATATTATTATGTTAAAAAAAACAGCTGAGGTACAATGCCATGTTTTACAAATTCTTTTCATGCACAGAAGAGAGTCTGAAAGGGTAGAGACCGAATCTAATGGTGATGTATTCTGTGGTGCATGGGATTATAGGTGGTTTATTTTTCTCTTTGATGCTTTATAATGAAATCTATGATTTCTCTCTAATGAACATATGTTACTTTCATTCTATTCTTTTATTTTTTAAGGTTTTATTTATTTATTTGTCAGAGAGAGAGAGAGTACAACAGGTGGAGCAGCAGGCAGAGGGAAAACAGGCTCCCCGCTGAGCAAGGAGCCAGATGTGGGCCTCAATCCCAGGACCCTGGGATCATGAGTTGAAGGCAGACACTTAACCCACTAAGTCGCCCAGGCATCCCACTTTTATTCTATTCTATTCAATTTATTTTTAAAGACTTTATTTTTAATTAATCTCTATATCCAACATGGGGCTCAAACTTACAACCCCAAGATCAAGTCACGTGCTCCAATGACTGAGCCAGCTAGATGTTTCTTGTCATTAAGTTAAATTAATTAATTTTTTGGAGAAAGAGAGCCTGTGTGCAAGCAAGGGGTAAGGAGGGGCAAAGGGGGAAAGAGAGAGAGAATCCCAAGCAGGTTCCATACCTAGCACAGAGCCCGACACTGGGCCGCATCTCACGACCCTGAGATCATGACCAGAACCGAAATCAAGAGTCAGACGCTTAACCAACTGAGCTACCCAGGTGCCCTTGTAGTTTTATTTTAAAAAAGCACTGTTTCCAAAGACACAAAACATTTTATTCCATGGTGGCCTTTACAAAATGAATTAAAGTGTCTTCTTTGTTAACGTCAAGATCCAAAGTCTAGGACAGTGCAAGGCACACAGCTGACCCTCCAAGGATGATGCGCTATTGAAAACACAATTTCGGATGCTTGGGTGCCTCAGTGGGTTAAGCCTCTGCCTTCAGTTCAGGTCATGATCTCAGGGTCCTGGGATCAGAGGCCTGCATCGGGCTTTCTGCTCAGCAGGGAGCCTGCTTCTCCCTCTCTCTCTCTCTGCCTGCCTCTCTGCCTACTTGTGATCTCTCTCTCTGTGTCAAATAAATAAAAGCTTTAAAAAATATATATAAAAGAAAGAAAACACAATTCCACTTACCAACTTTGAGAAAAGTTTTTAGTTCCAAGGGTCGCAGCACGGGTTGCTTTTCTATACGACCATAGGTTTCTGCTATGCTCTCTACTTCCACTTTAGGGCATTTAAACAGCTCGTAAGTCCCATCCCGGTTCTGTATAAAACTCCGAGTGATTTCCAAGGGCATCTAGATATGGAGACAATACCAAGAAATGTGAGAAAGGAAAAACCCAAAGTAGACAAACAGTTGAATGACGGCAGATCTTTCACTTACTCTTTTTTGTTAAGTATACTCCCCTTGTATTTTCAAGTAAACGCTGTCAAAAAAATCTGCCTTTTCTCCTTTACATCATTTTTCTTCTGTAACTTTAAGTTGCACCCAGCCAAAGCGTATATGAATTGAACCCCTAACATCTTCATGGCTATTCAATGGCTACTAGCAAGGACTTGCTCTCAAATTCATTTTATTCCTTCCCCTGCTGCTCTGCTAGCATCATTCTTCTCCTAACCGCTCCACTGACAGTGTCTACAGCTGACCTCACACCATGTATGCTCTACACCATCCCTGGGACTGAGCCAGACAGAACCTGAACTGGTCTTTGCCACTAAACAGCAGGGTGAATGTCTCACAGCCTATTTCTTATCTGCAAAATACAGTTAATACCAATGCATGGTTGAGAGTTTGAATGAGGTGATGCAGGTAAGTAATGGCCAGCAGATCGACACTCCGGGATTCTCAGCTCTCTTCCCTCGCCTGATAGGAGCTTGCTGAACCCCTGCCCAGGCCAGAATCCATCTCTGTGACATCCGACATTTAAATAAGTTTCTCAAGTGTTTTTAGTGCTAACACGGGCATTTTCTATGGTTCAAAAGTAAGTTCTATAGCTTCCCAACAACTTACTTTTTTTCTGAATGTAACAACGGCTTACAATTAAACTAATCTTAATGTATCAAATCACACTATGCTGAATTTTCTACAACATTCCATTACAGTAGGAAGGGAAAAACCTCAAATTTTCAGGATCTGCTTGAAAAAGAAAATGTTTAAAAATATGTAATATTTCCCTTACAAAAAAAAGAACGCAAACTAATTAAGGGTCATTTCTCTAATGAGGACTAAATTGCAGTTTGCAGAGAAGCATTTAATTGTGCTGAGTTCACTGACTTTACAAATGCTGTATCGTATCAAATTATTTACATACTTTCTAGCTTCCTGCTAGTTAAACGAGGGCTCACCATAGCTAGTAGGGGTTCGTTATCTAATTCACAAGAAAAATGATCTCTGTTTTCTGATCCCAAAAACAAAGACAAAGAATACTCCAACTTAATATATTTTTCCAAGCCATAGGAAATACCCATTAAAATCATAGTCAGCACCATACAGCCATGAATATTTCTGAATAATCTCTTAGTATGAGAAAAAAGAATTCTCTTTGGTGTCTATAACTGAAGGAATTAGTGCAAACATACTTCTTGCACTTGCTTCTCTCTCTTCCCCTCTTTGCCCTCCTACAATTGTAGAAATACCCTCTTACCTCTGGGGTATCTAAGATTTGTTTAACTTGCAGGATATTAGTGATATGCCAGGTATACTTGGAAAAGGTTCCCAGTGGCAAGGCATCTTTCCGAACAAAAGCTTCAATGTAAAAAGGGAACAAGATTAGACTACCAAAAAATAACATTCTCTTTCATTGTATTTGTTATCCAGTTTCTAGAAAGTTCAGTGCAGTGTTATCCTCTCCTTATAGAATCTCAGCACTTTGAAAAGGAAATTCTAGAGGCAAATCTATAATAGGTTTGGCAAAATGTGATAATGAATGATAAAGAGATTTCTGCTGAATATAGTCTCCAATATTTCTTTGAGATGCTGTTTATTTTGGCTACCTTTGAAACTTACTTCTTTGTTTGCTACAGCCACAAACACTGGTCTCCATTGTAAGATGCCTCTTAAAATCTCTTGTAACTTTAGATATATCAGAGGTCAAATTATAGTTCTTAAAAGGATTATATGGAGTTTAAACCAGTTAACGTGGTTGCCAACCTATTGCCTTGCCTGCAGGATTATAAGAGATTTTACCAAAGGGCCTGCAAAAATAGCGAAGGGATGGGTTAAAATTAACGTATTAGGAAGCCTGAAGTTTAACGTGAAAGAATCAACACTGCCTCAGGTAGATAAGCTGTGAAGACAAAATTTTTATGGCCCTAAACAGTGATTCACAGCTTGAACTATTCAAAGATAGAATTAAACCTCAAACAGTCCCTATCAGATCATCAAATAACTACTAACTAAAGAAATAGCATTGATTTCTAGCTGTAGTTACTCTTGGGCTATTTGCCACCGAGCCATCCTTTCCTCCTCTTTTTCTCCCCCTTAATTCCTTACACCACCTAATAAGTATCTTGACATTTCTAGTAGAAGACATAATAGAAAACCAAGAAATATGCACTATGATAATTTAATTAAAAAGGTGGGGGCTCCTGGGTGACTCAGTCGTTGGGCATCTGCCTTCAGCTCAGGGCATGATCCTGGAGTCCTGGGATTGAGCCCCCCATCAGGCTCCCTGCTCTGCAGGAAGCCTGCTACTTACTCCCCCTGCTTGTGTTCCCTCTCTCACTGTGTCTCTGTCAAATAAACAAATAAAATCTTTTTTTTTTTTTTTAAGATTTTATTTGTTTATTTGACAGAGAGAGAGATCACAAGTAGGCAGAGAGGCAGGCTGGGGGCGGGCAGAGAGCCTGATGCAGTTCTCAATCCCAGGACCCTGAATTCATGACCTGAGCTGAAGGCAGAGGCTTAACCCACTAAGCCACCAGGAGCCCCAACAAATAAAATCTTTAAAAAAGAAAAAAAGGGGGGTGCCTGGGTGGCTCAGTGGCTTAAAGCCTCTGCCTTCGGCTCGGGTCATGATCCCAGGGTCCTGGAATCGAGCCCCACATCGGGCTCTCTGCTCAGCAGAGAGCCTGCTTCCTCCTCTCTCTCTCTGCCTGCCTCTCTGCCTACTTGTGATCTGTCTGTCAAATAAATAAATAAATAAATAAATATCTTAAAAAAAAAAAAAGGAAAAAAGGCCTCCAAGCCTTAGACTTACTCTAAAAATAAAATCTTCATCACAAATTGGGAATCATGGAGTGCCTGGGTGGCTTAGTTAAGTGTCTGTCTCCAGCTCAGGTCAAGATCCCAGGGTCCTGGGATTGAGCCCCAAGTCGGGCTTCCTGCTCAGCGGGGAGTCTGCTTGTCCCTCCCCCTCTGACCATCCTCCCTGCTCATTCTCATGCTCTGTCTCTGAAATAAATCAATAAAATCTTAAAAAATAAAATAAAATAAATTTTTAAAAAATACCAAACTTTTTTTTTTTTTTAAAGATTTTATTTATTTGACAGACAGAGATCACAAGTAGGCAGAGAGGCAGGCAGAGAGAGAGGAAGGGAAGCAGGCTCCCCACCAATCAGAGAGCCCAACGCAGGGCTGGATCCCAGGACCCCAGGATCACGACCCAGGACGAAAGCAGAGGCTTTAACCCACTGAGCCACCCAGGCACCCCAAAATACCAAACTTCTTAGTGGGCACCCTTATTGGACTTCATTATTCTTTTACCAGGTTTGTGCTTTCTGAATCTTTCCATTACCTCTTATTGGAATAAGTATGGGGCCTTTGAGGAGGGTGATCATTTTTTTTTTTTTTTTAGATTATTTATTTATTTATTTATTTGACAGACAGAGATCACAAGTAGGCAGAGAGGCAGCCAGAGGTGGCGGGGGAAGAAGGCTCCCTGCTGACCAGAGAGCCCGATGTGGGCCTCGATCCCAGGACCCTGAGATCGTGACCAGAGCCGAAGGCAGAGGCTTAACCCACTGAGCCACCCAGGCGCCCCGAGGGTGATCATTATTCCAAGAGCTGACTGGCTAAGGCTTCACATTCTGAGCATGTGACTCAAAGTCCTAATCCTGAAAATTCCACACGTTTTTTCTAAACATAATTCTTAAAGGTCAAAATATCTACTGCTCTTGCTGAGGAAGAAATCCCATACCTGTGGTGGAGTTGGGAAGCCGTTTCTTCGCACTTCCTATAGATATTCTTTGTTGCAGGGCATCGAAAAAGGACTGCGGAATGTGGAACACCAGTGGCTCTGGTTTGCCTAGAGCAAATAAGAAGAAACTCAAGTGGAGAAACTCGGTGGGCTTTCGGATGTGTGGGAAGAGCAAGAAATGGAACTGGGTGGCAGTAATAAGGAAAACTGCCAAGGAGGCCGCTCTATGCAGAGGCAAAAGAAGGCTCTGAATGACTTTTATGAGTCAAGCACTGTCGCCAACCCCACTCTTAATCCCTTGCAATTGAAACAAATACAGCAGACCCCTGGCATCCACCAAACATAACTTTTCAAATCCCCTGTTTCGTAAACATCACCACAGCCCAGACTTTTCCCTTTAGTGAGTACATGACATGAGATGAGAACAATGGGGCTGGACTGAGAAGGTAGACTTGATTCAATCCCGCTTGCCATCCCTAGACATTTGCTTGGTGCATTCATGTCTGAGCAAAGTAACCGCAAGCTCTCACCCACATGGTCTGGGCCTTGCATGCCACAGACCCCAGAGTCAGGACACTGTTTATCCAATAAGCATTAGCCTTTTTCTCTGAATATGATTCCAAAGCAGGCAAAAGGTTTGAAAATACCTAACAAACCTCTTGAACTTGTCGGAAGAAAGAGTGTTGAGGGGAGGGATCAGAGAGTTCAGACTTTTCCTTAAGAATTGTCCAAGAGTGGGGGAGTCTGGCTGGCTCAGAGGGTAGAGCATGCAATTTCTGATCTCGGGGTCATGAGTTCAAGTTCCACATTGGCTGTAGAGCCTACTTAAAAAACAACAACAACAGCAACAAAAGCCCAGGCACTGTGTGGCTCAGTCAGTTGGATGTCTGGCTATTGGTTTTGGCTCAGGTCATGATCTTGGGGTCATGGGATTGAGCCCCACATCGGGCTTCACGCTTGGCAAGATGTCTCCCTTCTGCCCCTCCACGCCTCCCCCGCTACAATAAATGGGTAAATCTATAAAAACGAAAAGCAAAAAACAAAAAATTGCCCAAGAGGTTAGCCACAACAGAGGGGAAACATCCAGAACCACTACCTGCCTGGATATAATTTAAGAGTGGCTCTTAGGGGTGTCTGGGTGGCTCAGTCAGTTGAGCTTCCAACTCATGATCTGGGCTCAGGTAATGATCTCAGGGTCCTGAGACTGGGCCCCCTGTCGGGTTCCATGAACAGCACAGTGTCTGCTTAAGCCTCTCTCCTTCTCCCTCGGCCCCTCCCCCCGATCTCTCTCTCACTCTCTTCCTAAATTAAATAAATAAATCTTAAAAAACAAAAACAAAAACAGAATAGAACTATCATTTGCCATGACATGGATAGAGCCAGAGAGTATAATGATAAGCAAAATAAGTCAGTCAGAGAAGGCAAATACTATATGACTTTACTCATATGTGGAATTAAAAGACAAAACAAATGAGCAAAGGGAAAAAAAGAAGAAACAAACCAAGAACGAGTCTCTAACTATTGAGAACAAACAGATGGTTACCAGAGGGGAGGTGAGTTGGGGGATGGGGGAAGTAGGGGTGGGGCTAGAAGAAGTGTACTTGGGGTGAGCACTGGGTGAGGTATGGAATCCCTGAATCACTGTTTGGTACACCTGAAACTAATGTAACACTGCACGCTAACTATACTAGAACTAAAATTAAAACTTAATTAAAAAAAAATAACAGACTAGAACTACAACACAAGTACTTTAATTTCTCCTCCTTTCAGCAATAGCCAAGTTAGGTGACCAGACTTACCATCAAACTGATAGTGCATGGTTTGATGGATGCGTTCCGTGACACTGGCCAGCCAGTCTTGGAAGGATAAGGTCACTTGTGCCTCATCTAACAGCTGACCACAAGCTAGGAAAACAGATAAAAAAACTTTTCAGTAACTTTTATTTTTTTAAGATTCCAGGATTTTTTTTTTTTTTTTTTAAAGAATCCTTCTAGAGGGGCACCTGGGTGGCTCAGTGGGTTAAGCCGCTGCCTTCGGCTCAGGTCATGATCTCGGAGTCCTGGGATCGAGCCCCGCATCGGGCTCTCTGCTCAGCAGGGAGCCTGCTTCCTCCTCTCTCTCTGCCTGCCTCTCTGCCTGCTTGTGATCTCTCTATCAAATAAATAAATAAATCTTTAAAAAAAAAAAAAAAAAAAAGAATCCTTCTAGAAAAAAAGAAATGAAAAGCTGTGAAGATACTAATGGGTTTAAGGTTATTAACCATAGTCAGTTTGTAGCCTTCCTTTCACAATTAAACAGCAAATCGAAGGAGTACCTGGCTGACTCAGTTGGTAGAGCATGTAACTCTTGATCTCGGGGTTGTGAATTCAAGTCCTATGTTGGGTATAGGGATTATTTAAAAATAAAATCTTTGGGGTACCTGGGTGGCTCAGTTGGTTAAGCAGTTGCCTTTGGCTGAGGTCATGCTCCTAGAGTCTCAGAATCAAGTCCTGCACTGGGCTCCCTGTTCAGCGGAGAGTCTGCTTCTCCCTCTGACCTCTCCTCACTCATGCTCTCTTTCTCTCTCATTCTCTCTTTCAAATAAATAAATAAAATCTTAAAAAAAAAAAATCTCTGAGGGGTGCCTGCTTGGTGCAGTCACTTTTGGCTCTTGGTTTTGGCTCAGGTCCTGATCTCAGGGTCATGAGATCAAGCCCCACCTTGGGCTCCGCACTCTGCACGGAGTCTGCTTGAGACTCTCTGCCTCTCCCCCTCCTCCCTGCTCTTTCTCTCTCATAAATAAATAAATATTTAAAAATAAATAAATAAAATCTTTCAAAAACGAAATAAAATCTTTGAAAGAAAAAGTCAACGCAAATTGGAAGAATGACCTTGTATAATGGCTTGCTTTAGAGACCTATAAATCAGGAGATAATGATGCCATAACTACTATTCATTTGAAATTAATTCTCATTAGGTAAATGTATATAGTGATAATTTGGATGAAAAGCTATTTGATTCTATTTTATTTTTTCTCTGCACCAAAGAAGTGAAGAAATTTTGTTAAAAATTTTGTAACTGGGGTGCCTGGGTGCCTCACTTGGTTAAGTATCTGACTTCAGCTCAGATCATGGTCTCAGGGTCCTGGGATGGAGCTGTGCATCGGGCTCCCCACTCAGTGGGGAGTCTACTTGTCCCGCTCCCTCTCCCTTTGCCCCTCCTCCTGCTCATGCTCTGTCCCGCTTTCTCTCTCTCTTTTTTAAAGATTTTGCATATTTATTTGACAGAGACAGATCATTAGGCAGAGAGGCAGGCAGAGAGACAGAGGGAGAAGCAGGCTCCCTGCTGAGCAGAGAGCCTGATGTGGGGCTCGATCCCAGGACCCTGAGATCATGACTGAGCCGAAGGCAGAGGCTTTAACCCACTGAACCACCCAGGAGCCTCTCTCTCCCTCTCTCTTAAGTGAATAAATAAAATCTTAAAGATCTTTTATTTTTAAGATTTTATTTATTTATTTGACAGAGCTCACAAGTAGACAGAGAGGCAGGCAGGGGGCAGGGGGAGAAGCAGACTCCCTGCTGAGCAGAGAGCCCAATGTGGGGCTTGATCCCAGGACCCTGGGATCGTGACCTGAGCCGAAAGCAGAGGCTTAACCCACTGAGCCACCCAGGCGCCCCCAAATCTTAAAAATCTTCTATCTGATATATTTTTTCCAGTTTAAGCCATATATATTTTAAGATTTTATTTATTTATTTGAGAGAGAAAAACAGAAATAATGACAGCGATAGTGAGAGAGAGCACAAGTGGTGAGGAAGAGGGAGAAGCAGACTCCCCAATGATTAGGGAGCTTGACTGGGGCTCGATCCCAGGACCTTAAGATTTTTAACTGACTTAGCCACTCAGGCATCCCCTACTTGATTTTTTTTTAAATTTTATTTATTTATGTGATAGAAATCTCAATTAGGGGGAGAGGCAGGCAGGAGAGAGAGAGGAGGAAGCAGGCACCCCACTGAGTGGAGAGCCCAATTTGGGGCTCAATCGCAGAACCCTGGGATCATGACCCAAGCTGAAGGCAGAGGCTTTAACCTACTGAGCTACCCAGGTGCCCCCTGAATTTTTTTTTTAAATTTTACTTATTTATTTGTCAGAGAGACAGATAGAGTACATGCAGACAGAGTGGCAGGCAGAGGCAGAGTGAGAAGCAGGCTCCCCATTGAGCAAGGAGCCCAATGTGGGACTTGATTCCAGGACGCTGGGATCACGACCTGAGCTGAAGGCAGCCACTTAACCGACTGAGCCACCCAGGCGTCCCTCCTACCTGATATTTTTTATCATACTCCCCGACCTTCCAAAAACATTTATTCCTAGAATGTGTAAATTCTTAATTAATTGGTTAATTATGATTTAGTCTTGTGTTACTTGCTATTTATGTACTGGTTTTGTCTTCAAAACCATAGTATGAGAGCAGGGATGATGTCTGGTTTTTAATCACACAGCCATAATATATGAGAGTTAAGAAAATGTTGATTTCCAAATGCACAGGTTAATTATCTGGAGGAGAAAAGTAAATACATGGGGGCGCCTGGGTGGCTCGGTCGCTAAGCATCTGCCTTTGGCTCAGGTCATGATCCTGCGGTCCTGGGATCAAGCCCCGCATCGGGCTCCCTGCTCCGCGGGAAGCCTGCTTCTCCTTCTCCCACTACCCCTAGTTGTGTTCCCTCTCTTGCTGTGTCTCTCTCTGTCAAATAAATACATAAAATCTTTAAAAAAAAAAAAAAAAAGACATGATTTGGTTTTGAGTAGGACTGGAAACCAGTGGAACAGAACAGACCTCAGCCTCGGTGCCTGCTCGTGCTTATCTCAGCACTCTCTGGGGGATAACACGCAACCTTTCTTTCCATTATATCGCTTTGGGATTCTTTAGGATGATTTCTACTCCTTTAGCCTACCCTGGGGAAGGGAAACTTACCTTGCCTTTTTAGTGAAGAAGCAACCACAGGTTTTTTCAGGCCACTTTTCCTTAGATGACTGCTCACTGCATCTTGCGGCAGTAGTGAACTGTTCATCTGTGCCCCTAAACCACAAATCATTACAGTGTTTGGTAACATGTCTGCAGAATAGAAATGGATTCAACATAAATTTCTCAAGAGTCTAAACCATAAAAAATCTTTGGTCATTTCTAAGTTAGCTTCAGTTTCTAGAAAGAATTAGCATCAGGGGACGCCTGGGTGGCTCAGTTGGTTGGACGACTGCCTTTGGCTCAGGTCATGATCCTGGAGTCCCGGGATCGAGTCCCGCATCGGGCTCCCAGCTCCACGGGGAGTCTGCTTCCCTCTCTGATCTTCTCCTTGCTCATGTTCTCTCTCACTGTCTCTCTCTCAAATAAATAAATAAAATCTTTAAAAAAAAAAAAAAAGAATTAGCATCAGACTTTATACATAACATTTTAAGTTTTATATGCTTTTTACAGGAAATTGGGGTGGGGGTGGGGGACCTAGAAGTGAAAAGAAGAAAAAAACTCACCCACTGCTCCCACCTCTCAGAAAATCGCTATCAATTTTCTGGTGAACTATTTATTGTCTCTGTGTGTGTGTCTGAATAGTTAATTTTGCTGGTTTTGTGATTTAAGTAACTGTTATTGTACCAGGACTGCCAAATTAAGCAAAAAAAAAAAAAAAAAAAAAAAAATTCTGAATTTCAAATACCTTTGTTTTTTTTTTTTTAAAGATTTTATTTATTTATTTGACAGAGAGAGATCACAAGTAGGCAGTAAGGCAGGCAGAGAGAGAGGAGGAAGCAGGCTCCCCACCGCACAGAGAGCCCAGCGCAGGACCCTGGGACCATGACCTGAGCCAAAGGCAGAGGCTTTAACCCACTGAGCCACCCAGGCACCCCCAAATATAATTTTAAAATAAGCACATTTCAAATATAGCATGGGACATACTTATACTAAAATTATTTATTGTTTATATGAAACTCAAACTGAACTGAGCATTGCTTTTTACTTGAGTTATCTAAACAGTTCTTTATAATTCTTTTTTATTTTTATTTTTATTTTTTTTAATTTTATTTATTTATTTGACACAGAGAGAGAGATCAGAAGTAGGCAGAGAGGCAGGAGAGATGTGGGGCTCTATCCCAGGACCCTGAGATCATGACTCGGGCTGAAGGCAGAGGCTTAACCCACTAAGTCACTCAGGCGCCCCTACAATTATTTACAAAAAAAAAAAACAAAACTATTTATTTTAGAGAGAGAGTGTGTGCATGCACCAGCAAGGGGAGGGGTAGAGAGAGAGGAAGAGAGACTCTTCATAAGACTCTGAGCTGAACGTGAAGCCTGACACAGGGTTCAATTCCAGAGCCCTGAGATCAACACCTGAGCCAAAACCAAGAGCTAGATGCTCAAATAACTGAGCTACCCAGGCACCCCTATAATAATGCTTTATAATAATTTTATAATTCTTTATAATAATTTTTAATGGCTGCCTGATATTCTATCAAGTAGCTTTATCATGGTTTACTTAACTATCCCTAGTGGTAGGCCCTTACTTGTTTCTAATTTTTCAATAAACTATAAAATGAGTATCTGTGGACAAAATGTTTTTCCTATATCAAGGATTATTTCCTTATGAAAGATTATTTATAATCCCCCTGCTCTCACACACATATACATACTCTCTGTTTCTCTCTAAAATAAATAAATACGGGAGCCTGGGTGGCTCAGTCGGTTGAGTATCTGACTTCAGCTCAGGTCATGATCCTGAGGTCCTGCGATCAAGCCCTGTGTCAGGCTCCCTGCTCAGCAGGGGTCTCCTTCTCCCTGTGGTCTCTCTGTCTCTCTCAAGTAAATAAATGAAATCTTTAAAAATAAATAAAATAAAATAATCTTAAAAAAAAAAAAAAAACCCATAGCTGGGATGTCTAAGTGGTTCAGTCGGTTAGGAGTCTGCCTTCAGCTCAAGTCATGATCCTAGAGTCCTAGAACTGCATCAGGCTCCCTGCTCAGAGGGAAGCCTGCTTCTCCCTTTGCCTGCTTCTCCCCTTGCTTGTGCTTGCACACTCTCTCTCTCACAAATAAAGAAATAAAATCTTATTTTTAAATTAAAATTAATTTTTTTTAAAGATTTTATTTATTTATTTTACAGAGAGAGATCACAAGCAGGCAGAGAGGCAGGCAGAGAGAGAGGAGGAAGCAGGCTCCCCGCTGAGCAGAGAGCCCGATGCGGGGCTCGATCCCAGGACCCTGAGATCATGACCTGAGCCGAAGGCAGCGGCTTAACCCACTGAGCCACCCAGGCGCCCCTAAAATTAATTTTTTTATTTTATTAACATGTAATGTATTATTTGCTTCAGAGAAGAAATAAAATCTTTTTAAAAAATATATATATATATATTTAAAGATTTTATTTATTTATTGACAGACAGAGATCACAAGTAGGCAGAGAGGCAGGCAGAGAGAGAGGAGGAAGCAGGCTCCCTGCTGAGCAGAGAGCCTGATGTGGGGCTCGATCCCAGGACCCTGGGATCATGACCTGAGCCGAAGGCAGAGGCTTCAACCCACTGAGACACCCAGGCGCCCCTAAAAATATTTTTAAAAATGATTATTTATTTATTTATTTATTTGAGAGAGAGAGAGAAAGAAATTACAAGCAGGAAGAGAGGCAGGCAGAGGGGGAGGGGGAAGCATGCTTCCTGTCAAGCAGAGATCCCCATGCAGGGCTTGATCCCAGGACCCTGAGATCATGACCTGAGCCAAAGGCAGAGGCTTAACCCACTGAGCCACCCGGGTGCCCCGAAGAAATAAAATCTTTAAAAACAAACAAACAAACAAACAAACACAAAAACACAATTATTTAGAATCAAGTCTACTGAGTAAAACGATAAGAACTTTCTTTTTCGGGGCGCCTGGGTGGTTCAGTGGGTTAAAGCCTCTGCCTTTAGCTCAGGTCATGACCCCAGAGTCCTGGATTGAGCCCAATGTTGGCCTCCCTGCTCAGTGGAGAGTCTGCTTCGCCCTCTCGCTCTCCCCCTCCCACCCATTCATGCTCACTTGCTCTCCCTCTCTCAAATGATAAATAAAATCTTAAAAAAAAATCTTTAAAAAAAAGAATTAAAAAAAAAAAAAGGGGGCGCCTGGGTGGCTCAGTGGGTTGAGCCGCTGCCTTTGGCTCAGGTCATGATCTCAAGGTCCTGGGATCGAGTCCCGCATCGTGCTCTCTGCTCAGCGGGGAGCCTGCTTCCCTCTCTCTCTCTCTCTGCCTGTCTCTCCGTCTACTTGTGATCTCTCTCTGTCAAATAAATAAATAAAATCTTTAAAAAAAAAAAAAAGAACTTCCTTTTTGAATTTCAGGTTTTCTTGGGAAAGATTAATAAGTAAACATTTAACAACAATCTCTGTTCTCTATTGCTGTCAGAATTCTTAAAAACAGAAATGCCCATGTCCCTTTCTCCACCATCCCGACACCAAAACTCCTGTGCATGACCTACCTCTAAAAATACTCTATCCACAAAAATGTTTCTACCCACTGGACTGGAATATTTTTCTTTTGTTTAGAATCTAGGTCTTTTAATATTTATTTACTAGAATTTATCTGACTACTTAACTGACATTGGTACACTTATATTTAAAAAAAGAAAAAATATATATACAGTGCTGCATATTGAAAATGAAGCTAAGAAATTATACTCTTAAATTAGTTTGGAAAATATAATTAACCATTGTCACAAATTTTTAAACACACTCTATGGATAAAAACTTCACGATACTGTCCTAAGGCAGATTAAGGTATAAAACTAGTCCAAATGTCTAAGGGCTAAAAGACATATACAATAATAAAAGTAGAGTCTGGCTGGATCTTATTCCTGGCCAAAAGAACCAACCCTTAGCTCCACTTGACAAAGAATCAATGGAGGATAAAATTTTGGGGGGGAAAAAAACATAACAAACATTATTTCCATATTTGCTAAGATGCAATGAAACACAAAATACAACAAAACCATCTCTGAAGAAACCACCACCAAACAAACAACCCAAATGGCTTCTCACCAGGGACTTCCTCCTTCTTCCTCTTCTTTGGCTTGGAGGCAGTAGGCTCACAAGCTGTTACCGTCGATTCTGAATGGCAACCTAACTGGGGCACAATAACCTCTTTAAGACCTAAAATACAACAGATTTCTTAATTACTAATACCATCCAAGAGTAAGTATGGGGCCCTGCCTACAGAAAAATTAATTTATAAAAAATAACTTGTGGAATACTTAGCTAATGAATCATTGAACACTCCATCAAAAACTAATTTGTACTCTATGGTGGCTAGCTGAACATAATAAAAAAATAAATAAAAATAAATTATGGAGTGATTGCCTACTTTAAAATAATTTCCTTTAAAGAACTCCCCAAGACATGGGTTTTTATTCATGGACCCTTAACACATTAAAAGACTTTATAGAGAAATTAAACTAAAAAGTTGGGAGCTACTGCCAACTGATCATTAAGAAATGAAAATAAAAAGCATCTACAAGATAAACTCTGTTAAAAACCACAACAAAAGACTTGCTGTACAATCTTTAAAAATCTTTCAAGCAGGTAATAGCTTTCCCTGTCTTCAAAGATAACAAACAAGCAAGCACCCCAAATTAAAAGTTTTTTTTTTGTTTTGTTTATTCTTTGTTTTTATTAACATAGGGCATCTGTGAAAAAGTTTTTTTAAAAAAAGGTGAAGCAAAGATAAGCGAACTTTTGCTAGATTCACTGTCTCAGTGAAAATGTCCAAGTCTCCTGATCATTAGTTTCAATCAACCAACCAACCAATCAACCAACCAACCAGCCAACCAACCTTTATGCAAGTGTGCTGACTGGGATTAAAAGAAGGAATGTTTTTCATTTGAATTATCTAGCAACTGCTTCTGAAGGTTGCTAGGACAATCTCCAAATGCCATCAGTGGAACTCTTTCATTGCCATTTTAGAAAAACAGAGTAACCGTGTCAACACACCACCTACCGCTGGAATCAAAATTCAGGAAGTCTGAGAATTCCTGAGCCAATGTCTCATCACTGGCAAAGGCACAGATGCAAGCAAAGAAGTGAATACATCTCTGGGTCACCTCCTCCTTGGAGGCATTCGACTTGTGCGATTTCAGAGCCTGGCAGGAGCAGAAGAAACGGCGCTCAGGCAAGCTTTTGGCACTGATTTTCTGCACAAAGGAGGTATGCAAATACCCTAAACTGTGCTTCTGGCTCGCCTTGCATTTCACCACCAGAATGTTTTTCGTAATCCTCTGTACAAGGGGACCCGTGGGTTCCGTGGCCAGCTGCCAGATGGTTTGCTTGGTTTCTGGGGAGGCCTGCATTGCATTCAGGACCGAGCTTTTCAGCGTCAGAGGGGTGGCCTCAGCCTGGCAGCTCACTGCCAGCTTGATGTGCTGGCACTGATTTTCCACCACGCCCTGGGTGGCAGCTTTCAGGCATGAGGGGACATAACAGCGTCCCGAGCTCAGCTGAGTGATGATTGTCCCGTCCACAGTCTGGATTGTCGTCTCTGACACGCCTAGCTCCACAAAGCATCGGTGATCGGGGCCCCGGTCTCTTTGCCGCACTGAGTAAACCTGTAGATCGGAGCCCGTGATGATTTTGACAGCTTCAACACTAGGCTGCTTCCGTGCACCATAGCGGAATATGGTTCCACATGTCTTGTTCTTGCAGCTCAGTCCCCGGGTTCCATTGTATGTGCCGCATCGGGGACACTTTCTGATTCCCCTCAATGTGGCCTTCCCCAAATCAGACAAGAAAGCTGGGACTTTAGTCCTCAGAGAGTTGGGTTCCATTTTTCAAAGGCCCTAGGAAAAGCATAAGCCCATCAGCATGGATATACATTCATACAACCCATACACGAAGTTAAAATCATTTATGATATTAGTACAGAGAGTAAAATGTAAACAGGTTAGCCACTGTTTTCAAATCACACCCTCCAACAGAACATTTGCTTAAGCTATCAAACAAAGTGAAATACTGTTACGCTGAAAAGAAATATTAAAAAAAAAATAAATAAATAAAACAAAAGTGAAGGAACCCTTGCCTTTCATAGCATTATACATTTTTAAAATCCTAATATAGTAACTAAAGCATTTCTCTAGGCTCAATACAGTTTTATACAACAACCTAGATTAGTTAACCGAGTTTTCACATGCACTAATGTTTAATCTGAGCAAGAACTGGAGACTGGGAAAGAGGAGTTCTTTCCTTTCCACCATTCCCCACGAAACCCAGTCCAATCCTACCTGAATCAGCTGCCAGAGCATCTGGGAAACAGTGTAACCTGAATTCATAAAACCTGAAAGGTGTTTCATTAGTTTGTGATGATCAGAGAGGACAGGGAAAGACATAATCATTTGCAGAGTAAATAATACTGTTTAACCCAAAGTCTTTTGAAGTTTGAACTCTATGGTGTAACAATGCAGACATTCTGCCTCCTCCTTCTTGGCCAGCCAATGGCAAAGCTCCTGCCCAGTATTCCAGAGTCGAAGAAGATTCCCACTGCCCTAAGTGGAGATCTTGGCCATCTATAAGTAAAACAACAAAAAAAATTAAAGTTATAAAGATAGTGTGTCTCCTCTTAGAATAGGAACCTAGGGCTTCCGGAGGTATTTGAAAACTATTTGACAGAAATTGTTATGGAAATGGTTGTTCTGTACTTCCAACTTAAAGCAGGTAAAACAGTGCTAATGTCATTACGTGGGGAGTTGTCAAGAATACCCAGGGCCATGACATATAATTGGCCAAATACTCATTCTTCCCAATGACAATGCATTATATTTTAGAGTGCTTTATGCTTTTCAAAGTGCCTTCACATTATTTCATTTGGACCTTGCAATACTAGTATCTCATTTGAGCTAAACAATGACCACGTTTCACACGAAAATTTAAAAAGTTAAGTATCCTGGGCTGCCTGCCTGGCTCAGTCAGCAGAGCATGTGACTCTTGCTCTGAGGATCCTGAGTGTGAGCCACACACTGGGCATAAAGAATACTCTTTTAAAAAAAAAACAAAAAACAACAACAATAAAATGCTAAAAGACAATTTGAAGTTGTGTGGGTGGCTCAGTTGGTTAAGTGTCTGACTCTTGATTTCAGCTCAGGTCATGATCTCAGGGTCTGAGATTAACCTCCAAGTTGGGCTCTGTGCTCAGCTGGGAGTCTGCTTGAGATTCTCTCCCCCACCCCCTCCATCTGTCCCTCCCTCTGCTCGTGTTCTCTTCTAAAATAAATAAATACATCTTTTTTAAAAAATTGACGTAAAAAAAGTAACTTGCCTGAGGTCACCCAGCAAAATCAGCAATGTGGTTTCCAGTGTCTGCTAAGAAGAGTGTGAATCTCTGCTTTGATTTCCCCTGCAATATTATGAAAAATTTCAGACACAGGGCGCCTGGGTGGCTCAGATGGTTAAGCATCTGCCTTCAGCTCAGGTCATGATGTCCAAGGTCCTGGTATCGAGTCCCGAGTCGGGCTCCCTGCTCAGCAGGGAGTCTGCTTCTCCCTCTGTCTCTTCTCTCTGCTCATGAGCTCTTTCTCTCAAATGAATAAACAAAATCTTAAAAAAAAAAAAAGAAAATTTTCATACATATTAAAAAATAATTATATAGTGAACTTCTACATTCCCACCCATTCGATTCTATAACTAACATTTTACTGTACTTGCTTTATTACATATCTAGCTATCCTTTACTGCACCCATCAATCCCTCATATATTTTATTGCATTTCAAAGTAATTTTTTAAAAAGATTTATTTATGTATTTATTTGATAGAGAAAGACACAGCAAGAGAGGGAACACAAGTAGGAGGAGAGGGAGAGGGAGAAGCAGGCTCCCCACAGAGGAGGGAGCCCAATGTGGGGTTTGATCCCAGGAACCTAGGATCATGATCTGAACAGAAGGCAGACACTTAACTGACTAAGCCACCCAGGTGCCCCATCATTTCAAAGTAATTTATAGGCATCAATTCAGCACTCATATTAACTAAAAGTTCAACTTTTTAAAAAGATTTTATTTATTTTTGGGGCGCCTGGGTGACTCAGTGGGTTAAAGCCTCTGCCTTCGGCTCAGGTCATGATCCCGGGGTCCTGGGATCGAGCCCTGCATCAGGCTCTCTGCTCTGCAGGGAGCCTGCTTCCTCCTCTCTCTCTCTCTGCCTGCCTCTCTGCCTACTTGTGATCTCTTTGTCTGTCAAATAAATAAATAAAATCTTAAAAAAAAAAGATTTTATTTATTTTTAAGTAATCTCTACACCTAACGTGGGGCTCAAACTCACAACCGCAAGATCAAGACTCACATGTTCTACGGACTGAGCCAGCCAGGCTCCCCAAAGTTCAATATATTTTTTAAAGTAATCTGCTTGTGATGTTGAAATAGGCTGTTAGTCTGGCCCCCTGGCCCTAAAGGATGATGTTGATAAAATATTTTCCCTCCAAGGGCACCTAGGTGGCTCAGTCATTGGGCATCTGCCTTCAGGTAGGGTCATGGACCCCACACCCTGGTTGAGCCCCATGTTGGACTCCCTGCTCAGAGGGAAGCCTGTTTCTCCCTCTCCCACTCCCCATGCTTGTGTTCCCTCTTTCGATGTGTCTCTGTCAAATAAATAAATAAAATCTTAAAAAAATATATGTTCCCTCCACATGTTCTACTGTGTATTTGTTCATCAACAAGCTATAAGGTACAGGGGCACAGTGGCTGTGGCTGTGTGGCTCTGACTTCAGCTCAGTCATGATCTCAGGGTCCTGGGATCTAGTCCCACACTGGGCTCTCTGCTCAGCAGGGAGTGGATTAAAGATTTTCAAAATCTTTAAAAAATATAATAAAAATTAAAAAAATAAAAATGTCTCCAGATATTGCTGGATGTTTTCTCAGGGGGCCTAAATCACCCATTAAACTCCCCTGATCTAGAGACAGTGGCCTCTTTACACAGCATTTCCTTTCCAGGTCAATAAACTTCTTCAGTAGTTATTTTCATTCAGCCACACAGGTTCTTAGAAGAGAAGGTTGTTCCAAAGTCAAAAGATCAAAGATTTAGTTTGCCCTTTACCACCAATTACTTCTGTGACCAAATTTATATTCTGAGCTTCAGGTTGTTTTTCATTTGCAAAATAGAAAAAATATATATAGGGGTGCCTGGGTGGCTCAGTCAGTTAAGTGTCTGCCTTCAACTCAGGTCATGATCCCAGGGTCCTGGGATTGAGGCCCTGCATCAGGCTCCCTGCTCAGCGGGAGGTCTGCTTCTCCCTCTCCCCCCCCCCCCACTTTCTCTTTCTCTCTCAAATAAATAAAATATATTTTTTAAAGATTTTATTTATTTATTTGACAGATAGAGATCACAAGTAGGCAGAGAGGCAGGCAGAGAGAGAGGAATGAAGCAGGCTCCCTGCTGAGCAGAGAGTCCGATGCGGGCCTCGATCCCAGGACCCTGGGATCATGACCTGAGCCGAAGGCAGAGGTTTTAACCCACTGAGCCACCCAGGCGCCCCTAAATAAAATATTTTAAAAAATTACTTTGGGGGCGCCTGGGTGGCTCAGTTGTTAAGCACCTGCCTTTGGCTCAGGGTCCTGGGATTGAGCCCCACATCGGGCTCCCTGCTTGGTAGGGAGTCTGCTTCCCCCTCTGCCTGCTGCTCTGCCTACTTGTGTTCTTTTCCTCTCTATCAAAATAAATAAATAAAATCTTAAAAAAAAGAAAAATATACATAGTATATGAAATATATCTATGAAAGAGCTTAATAAAATTGTAAAAATTCATTGATGGTGATTACTCAACATACCATCAAAGTAGAAAAAAACAACTTTGCTCATTAAGGGAGGAACTGGTTTGCCAATTATCATAGTGAAGCCTTATGGTTTTAGCATCATCAAAGGAATTCCACTTCTTCCTCTTATTTTTTCTTTTTCTTTTTTTTTAATTTTCTGTAGAGGGCAATTGGTTAGTATCTCTCAAAATTACAAATGCACATTTCTTAAAAAAAAAAAAAACTTTTCATTTTGGGGCGCCTGGGTGGCTCAGTTGTTAAGCATCTGCCATCAGTTCAGGTCATGATCCCAAGGTCCTGGGATCGAGTCCCATATCGGGCTCCCTGCTCAGTGGGGAGCCTGCTTCTCCCTGTCCTGCTTCCCCCACTTGTGTTCCCTCTCTCACTGTCAGATAAATAAATAAAATCTTTAAAAAAATCTTTTCATTTTGGGATAATTTTAGATTTATAGAAAAGATAAAAAATCATATAGACATTACTGTATACCCTCACCCACCTTTCCCAAATGTTAACATTTTACCTAGCCATGAGACATTTGTCAAAACAAAGGTTTTTTTTTTTTTTTTTTTTTTTGAGCTTGGAATTTTTTATTGGCCTCCTGCTCCCCAAAGGGTACCCTGCTTCTGCTCCCTCAACGCCTCAGAACTTTGGTGTCATTGGTCTCAGACACGACCTTGCTGTCCACAATCCTGAGGGTAGTGGTTTTCTGGATGGTCTACATGGAGCTGCTGCTGTCCAGGGCGTCACTGAGACTGAAGTCCTCCCCATCTTCCAGCAGGCGACGGTAGGTGGCGATCTCAGCCTCCAGCTTGACCTTGACATTCAACAGGGCTTTGTACTCCTGGGCCTGGCGCTGCCCCTCTGCCTGGGTCTGGGACAGCTCAGACTCCAGGTGCAGCAGGACCCTGTTGAGCTGCTCCATCTGCATGGCGTAGCGGGTTTTGACCTCCCTAAGGCTGTTCTCTAAGCTGGCCTTCAGGTTTCTCATCGAGTCCAGGTTGATCTCCAAGGACTGGGTGGTACGTCTCAGCTCCCTGAGGGTCATCTCAGCCTCTCCTATCTCTGTGGTCTGTGTGGTGACCACTGTGGTGCTTTCTTCAATCTGCTGGGACCAGTACTTGTCCAGCTCCTCTTGGTTCTTCCGAGCCAGCTCATCATACTGGGCCCAGATGTCTGCCATGATCTTGCTGAGGTCCTGAGACTTGGGGGCATCCAACTCCACGGTCAACAAGGAGTTGGCAATTTGGTTCTAAAGACTCTTTACTTCCTCCTCATGGTTCTTCTTCATGAAGAGCAACTCCTCCTTGAGAGCCTCAATCTCTGTCTCCAGCTGCAGCTTAGTGACATTGGTGTCATCGATGACCTTGCGGAGCCCGTGGATGTCACTCTCCACGGACTGGCGCATGGCCAGTTCCGTCTCATACTTGACTCTGAAGTCATCAGCAGCAAGACGGGCATTGTCAATCTGCAGAACTATGCGGACATTGTCCACAGAACTTGCAAAAATCTGAGACCTCAGCTCCTCGATGGTCTTGAAGTAATGCCCCCAGTCTCTGACCTGGGGTCCCTTCTTCTCCAGGTGTTCCCGGATTCTCACCTCCAGTCTCTGATTATCTCCTCCAGGCTCCTCACCCTCTCCAGGTAGGAGGCCAGGCGGTCATTCAAGTCTTGCATGGTCTCCTTCTCGCCCTGCATGCCCCCTATGCCGGCCAGACCCCCCGCCATCCCGGCGGCCAACCCCGTGGCCAGGCCCCCGGACCCCCAGCTGC